CTACCCCCACCCCCTTAGAAAAAATTCCTTTCTACTGCACACTGGTACCAGAACAGCACTTTCTGAAAGCACCATTTTCAGGGGGAAATAATAATAGCAGAAGCCAGGCGTGGTAGTGAACACCTGTAATCCCAGAACTTTACAGGCTGAGGCAGCAGATTCACCCAGAGTTGGAGGCCAGCCTGGGGAATATAGTAAGTTCAAGGCCAGCCTGAACTATATAGCGAGACCCTGTCTCAAAACAACAGCAACGAAAAAATAGCAGAGTTCTTTCTAATCATAGCATTTTAAAACTTTCTATTTCTAATTATATATATTTAATTTTTTGCAAGGTTTCCCAACTGATATGTGAAAAGTTCTCATAATTTTCATGATGAAAACGAAATCATCTCTATAAGTAGAATGGACCCAGATAGCAGGTGCTCTGGTTTTGAATCCAGGTTCCATTCTGCGCACCTCCGTATTCTTATATGTACCTCGCAGGGGATAAAGCCAGTTTGCTGTGAGAATTACATGATTCTCTTTGTAAAGCACTCAGGGTGGTGGCTCATACAAAATTAGTAACAATTTTTCCATAGAAACCTTCCTATCTAATAAAGGAAACATATTTCTCTAATACACATTCGAAGGCTCAGTACTGCTTTACAAAGGAAGCACAAATAATAACAACATACTCTTCCTCCCTCCTTCTCCACATCTTCCTTAAAGGCATGACTCACTAGCATTTTCCACTTTTACCTACCCTGCTCCTGGGTGGGAGTGACAAATAAAACTAATTGTTCTTCCTAAAACTGGAGGCAACATTTGAAGTCAGATGGCACGTCTTTGTTTTATCCTCTCTTTTCATGAAAGAACAATAGTTTCAAATGATAGTTTAAGCATTCTTACAAAAAGGCAGTCATACCAGTTACTTGCCAGATGTCTCTGATTAATTTGCCTGTGCTCCGCCAGACGTTCAGCACGAGCTGGTAATTCTGCTCTGCCAATGCTAAAGTTTGCTAAACAATACCTTCACAAACAGGAAACATGATTTCAGTGAAAGATCTCACTTGTGGATGTATGGCTGTCCTGGTGTTCGCAGCAGGTCTGAGACAGAAATGTTATTTGAGCTCTTCTCTTTGTTCCTTTACCTCGAGGGTTCAGCCTTGGGAAGCACTGTATTCATCCATATGTGCCCTCCACATACACCACAGTTTGGGCCACAGGTGGGTCAAACCCATTCTCTGTGCTATCTTCTCACAGTCCTGAGCTGAGAGGCTGCAGTTCTTGGAAACCACTGGGCAGGCCCTGCTCTTCTCCACATGGAAGCAGCAGGAAGCACCACTGATCTAACTCCCAATCAAGGGGAGACATCCTCCTCAGGGAGGTGCTGCCCAGATCTGTCTGCCTGGAGGCCTCTCACTCCTGTGGTAGATCTAAGAACACTAGGGTAGGCCTGAGAGAGAAGAGTTCATCTCAGTCAGAAGTCTCAGCGCCCAATCTTCACTCTCCACCTTTCCTGGTGCCTCCTGCCACTGCCCTGCACCTGCCGCTGGGCTTCTCCAGCACGGAGGGTAGCATGGAACAAAGTCTAAGGTTCTAGGTCTAGAGTCTTCTGATGTCCACCATATTCATTTCAGATCAGAGATCAGAACATCTGATAGACCGCACTATTCTGACTTATCTAGTGATTTACAGTGAATACATCAACAAAGCCAAGTGCCTGTAATAGAAATGGGCTGTGTGCCGACATAGCTGTCTGTCTTTGAAGGTCTTAAAATGGTCCACTAGCACGAAAAAACAGGTCACCACAAATGACTAGGCAGGTTTGCTGCAGCTTCACAGCAACTCCACTTTGCGCCCAGCTCAATCTCACAGGCATGTTCTCCTTTTCTGCTTTGTCCAAAACTTTACACTGGTCTTACGTTGTCTATAAAGTGCCCCCAAACTCCACTAGGTCATAATTCTCATCTCATACAATAGCAGTTGGACTATATAATCTAGAATCACAATATTGAATATAGTTAGACCCACGTGGCTATTTAAATTTTTAATTTATTAACATTGAAAATCCAGTTGGATAATGACACTAGCCATTTTTTGAGTGCTTATGACACATCTGGCTGTTGTCTACATACTGGACAGCATACATTATAGAACATTTTCCTCACTGCAGAAAAGTTCTACCAGACATCCCTGAATTATTTTAGAACCTAATCTTAAAAAGCAGACCCTGGAATTTTTCAAGCAAATGTCCAGAATTCCCCAGTGCCATTTATGTAAGTTTCTGCACATAAAGCATGGAAGTGCGACTATTTAAATTACACCTTCAAACCTAAGAGCTGGAGCTGCCTTGCAGGGGAGGCAACTCACTGACCATTCATGGTAACTCTGAGCCCAGAAGACTCAGAAAATTATAGACTGATACATCAGGAGTTTTAATTTCTCATGAATTGTTGAAATGGAATCCTCAAATTCCAGCTCTATCATTCCAAAATATGGAATCTGAATGGTTTTCTGTCCTAATGTGGAGGATGAACTTTATCCAAAATGTAGTTGATACATATAGGAACAAGTTTAGTCTTAAATTCATCCAGGAATCTTTTTAACAGTTCCACAAGGAAATTATGAGACCCTCAGAATAAATGTGGAATCCATTTTGACAAAGGATCTTAATTTTTGTAACTTTCTGTAAGTGCTATTAGAAAAGCAGCTATACCAATGGCTATTGGGCATCGTCCTCTTATCAGGGAAGGACACTCCTCTCTTCTTAATGCTCTAACTTCTAAAAAGTTGTTTCTCAAAAGAATTTTGATTGATTGCACAAAAAAGATATAAAACTACCCAAAGTTTACTTCTGGCTTTTTTCCAAAACCAAAACTACTTGGAAATGAAAGATGAATTGTTAATGTTGAGCACTTTTGAAATACTAAAAATTTAAGTTTCCAAACTGTGTTTAACCAGTTATTTCAGACCTAGAGAGAGAGATATTTGTACTTTTGCAAGGGAAACTGAGGCACAAACCAGTCAATGAAGCCCATGTTCTACTTCATTTGCAAACATAGAGCCATAAGAAGGCTCTGTAAAAGAAATTCAAAGGAATATGCTTATTTCAGATTATTCAGCACCAGGAGAATGGCATTTTTTTCTCCCGATGAGCATAAATCGCTTCTCGGCCTTCCAGCTAAGATCAAGTGCAGTATCAAGATGAGCATAAATATTTTTAAAAAGTAAATGAACATATCAAGAGGAGAAATCTGGGAGCATATACAGGGAGAGTCAGAGAAGATGACTCGCTAAGAAATTTTCTTACACATTATCTTGCACATGAAAGCACATTGCTATTTAAAACAGTAAAGGGCAAATATTGTACTTCTGCATACATACATTGCAGTATAATGTGTAATATATAATTCAATTGTATGTTCTAATATACCACGAAGAACACCAGGGTGATAATCAATTTTTAAAAATTAAATGACAGTGTGTGAATTCATACTATTTCAAAGAAATTCATACTACTTTTGAAAGGGAATAGATAACACCTTTCTAACCAACTGATAACAAAACGTTTGACTTAATAAAACACTCCCAAAGTGGACTATTAACCACAGAATAGTAGGATTAATACTCCAGTACGACTAGTTTCCTTAACAAGTATTTATTGATCATTCACTATGCACCAACTGCTGTCAACAAACTGAAGAGTTAAACCTCCCCTTATAATTTCGTCAAAAGGAATCATTTTTATTTGTGTAAGTTGGATGTTTGTATCTCGATTTCTATTACTTGTATCTGTGAATAAATCAAAACTTGATTTAATTCACAGATCCTGCATTTTGCAACAAAGATCCAGTGTCAATCAAGACATTATCAGCCAAAGTATCTCATTTCAATTAGTAAGTACTTACTTATTCAAAAATAATGTGCAAAGGGGCCCTAACTCACATTTCTAATCAATTTTAACTGTTGAGGAAAAACAAACCCTCGCCACAAAAGAGATGTACACGCATACAGACACTCACACATTATATGTTCTTTAACATTCTAATTTTTGCTCCAAACATAAAGAAATGATAGGGATATGGAAACGCTAATCGCCCCGATTTGGACAGGAAAGGCTGTGTCCACATGTATACACTGTACCTCACACTGTACCCTACAAGTGTGTATAACCATTACATGTATACTTTAAACATTTTAAGGGAAACAAATCTATTTCTCCAAATTAATTCTGCCTTGTAAGAGTGCCTTTGCCTGACAGGCCCTTCCTTCCCTTTTAGTCCCTGTTCCTTTTTGCCCTTGAGATCTGCACTGCAGGTCACACCTCAGCCAGGCCTTCACGACATCCTGCTCTCACTGCCTCCTTTCCTGAGCCCCCACTCCAGACACTTTCATCATGTCCCTAACCCCAGCAAGCAATCACACAGTGTTTATTTGTTTCTGCAGTCACTGCACATCTCTCGAATGCGAAGGCCTCTGTGTCTATTTGAGTATCTCACACAGTGGCTGGCAGAGTCCTGCTCAATAGAAACGGTGGAGACAAGGAATGAAGTCAGTTTCCTCTGAGCCTCCAGCGAGTTCCTCTCTGGTGATGCTTACAGACTAACTGCTGAGAGAAGTGTTGTTTTTGCTATATGCAGTCATATTTCTTTTTAATTGAGGTACACTTTTTATGTTTATTCCACTAGAAATAAAAAGTGTACACGTAAAAAGTACAGACAGCCTAAAACTACTTCATCACTCTTCTAGGTGCTCAAAATAATGGAAATGACTATCGGTGAATTTAATTCCTCAGTTGCATCTGGCTCTATACCTATACATACAAATCTTACTACCTCAACCTCAAAGTTCGGGGAAAACTTCCACTTAGTGCGAGATATGTTTACAAAATAAACCCGCTTTGGAAGCTCTTCTGCGTCCAAATCTGAGAGTCGACACACTCTTTGGCATTCAGTACGTTCCTCCATAACACCACTCTATAAAGCCATCTGCACTAGGAGGACTTGGGAACTGCTTACCTGGAGTCCTTCCTGACCCTCGCTTTCTCAAAGGAAAACTCGGGGGGTTTGTTGAGGTCATAGGTCCGGGTTGTTGGCTCAGCAGACACCCCTGCCTTCGCTCCCCTCCTGCTGTGAAGAGAGACCAATCCCGAGGTCTTCCGGTGCACCTCCAGAGGCACCTTCTCTGGGGAGGCTTGGAGCGGGCTTCCTCCCTGCACGTGCACCACATCCTGAAGCTTGTTCAGCTGGATGCACTTGCTCTGGAGCTCCTCTGTGAGCTCAGCAATGGCCACAGTCTGCTTCGACAGCTGCTCCCGCAGCTCCTTCAGATGGTACTCTCGCTCTTGGATCTCAGCATCCTTCCTCCTCAGCTCTCTCTCCAGCTCCACCACCTTGCTCCGCAGGGCATCAGCGCTGAGGTTCCCAGCGTGGCCATCTGGATGCTTGGAATGTTTGGGTTTCACGGAACCATTTCCCATGTTGCCCTGGGACCTGAGAAAGTGCAGAAAATTGAGAATGACCGAATGGAGTTCCGTTTTCCCACAGCCCCCCTCTCCTCTCCTTCCAATGAGATAGAAGCAGAGCAGTCATCACTGTCAGATGAGCGATAAATTCCCCGCATGCTTCCAGAACGAAAACCAGTGACTGACTTCCTTTATCTCCTTTATCCCTCCCAGAGAAGGAGCTGGCATTTGGGTTCATTCCACCTCTTCCTTTGCACAAGTATGGCACCTAAGCATTTTGCGCAAACAGCCTGGGTTACCTGCTGTTCTCTTTGGTCATTCTCTCTGGACAGCTGTCAAAAGCATCACAACAAGACTGCAGTTTGAATGTCAGCATGGCAAAAGATGAGACGCAAAGGAGCAGCTACAGCAACAGAGGCTTGGAAATGTCGCAACTCTCACAGCTCCCTGTGTGACTCCACAGTAAGAAAGCTTCCCTGGATTTAGAAAATAATACATCTGCATTCTGTGCAAGGTGGAGGCAGACTTGGTGTTGCTTTATTAGCACTTTTCTCCTGCTGTAGTTATAATAAGTGTTGTATTTCTGATAATGCTTACTGTTAAAAACTTCTGGATTGTGGTCTCTAGAAGGAAATGGAGGCATGAGATTCTTCTACATTCCTTACTTTAGATCCTAAAGTCAAGGCTGTCCAAAGCATGCTGACCTATATTGTGAGGTGCCATTTTTCTCCAGTTGAGAAATCCTTAGTGTAGGCCCCAAGTAACCACTAACCCTGTAAGTCTCAGGACATAACAGATAGAAGTATGGGGGATGATTTTAGTTGATTCAGAATTATCTTCTCCTGGCTCAATAGCTTATTTAGTTCAACATTTTCTGAAAATATAAACAATTAGCACCACAAATTGATATTACTTAAGTAGGAGCTAAATTAGGTATTTTAGGCTTACTAAGCCAATTCAGTAAAATTAAATGTAAATACATATAGGTAATAAGCACATATAAGCAAGATCATAAAAAGCAAACTCATCTTGGTGAAATTTGGAAAATACTACTCTGATTAATTCCCATAAGGCTATTGGTATCTTGGGCTATGTATTTCAGCTTCATATTTTTGCAAATGCAGCTTTGATAGTCATAACTAAGAAGCATTACAGTATTTGCAAAGTAATTACTTCTAATTATCTAGAAGCAGGAAGGATGAAACTTTAAGTTTCATAACCCATATTCTTGCCACTCCTGCCTTCCAAATTTAAATTCATATCAAAATGAAGTACTTAGACCTAGTTCACCAGAAAGACGTAGATATAAGGATGTGATACAACTTCCAAGTTTCAAACAAACATAACCAAATAACCAATGGAGGTTACCTAAAATAGATAGTACAGACAAAAAATAAATGTTCTTATGAAAGTAATCTTGCAACACTGGGATATTCCTCATAAAACTTAGACTCAAAGTAGTCACTCATAAACATCAGCCTACAGAGAATTGCCTAAATATATAGCAGAGATGTGGCAGATTCAATTTTTAAGTTTCTGTTCACCTGGCAGCATTTACTATTCCTAAATATTAAGCACATATAAGAAGGTGAAAGAGACTAGAATTTGAAGAAGTGGCCCTAGATACACTTTCGTCTTGAATAAGCAATTCAGAACCTGTTAGACTGGGACCTGAGCATGAACTTAAATTAGAATCTAAATTAAGGGCAGAAAAAAGATCCTTTAAATTAACATGAGCACACATTTTTAACATGCAACAGTGAGCCATCTTCTAGACATGCTTTTTGGCTGATGGACTAGCATTCTCATTTTCGGGCCAAGAGAGAAAGAGAAAAGGCCTTGTAAAGAACAAAATCAAATATAAACACATTTAGAGCTAATATTAAACTAACATCTCATTATTTATTCATGGAATAGTTATTTACTAAGATCTAAGTGTTATGTGCTATATCAGAGGCACATCCTTTTAATGATCTGCAGTCAAATCTGACAGAGAAAACACTTCTAGCATCGTAATTACGAAAAGGCTTAGAATTGGTTTTGTTTCATGAATGGTGTTTAAAAACTTCTGATCTAATCCAAAAGTTTTTATAAACCCAAGGCTCAATTAGTCAAAGAGTATTAAGTTCTCTCCAAAGATCAACAATTCTCTGGTTTTAATAAAGTCAGGTTAGAGGCTATATAAATCTTGTAAGCTATTTTAGACTTTCAAAGTGGGTTAAATGAAAGCAATATTTTTCAAGTCACTAATTTATTAATTTGTTATTTTTTAATACTTTTATTTGTACATTTTAGATATACAATACAGTTACATTCATCATTGGGATCTTGTACCTTTGCACAATGTATCTTGGTTCTTATTTTTTTCCCCATTCCCCTAGTCTCCCTTTCCCCCTCAAGCCTTTCCTGTGACAAGTCACTAATTTAAGATAAATATGGTACCAGGTGGCCCACTGTTAGTCCAATCTCGTAGTTAACCTGTTTAACTTTTGGTGGTCCTCAAGTCCAGAGTTCAAGTGTGTGGCTTCTTAAGACCTAATGAGATTCACTGTGTTTCCTGTATCAGATCCAAAGACAAGCTGTTTCACAAGGAGAAGTGAACTACAGGATACTGTTTCATCAACCAGACAACTCCGGTTATTAAAACTATTCTTATATTTAGAGGGCAGCCCGTGATGTAATGAGCAATGACTATGGAGATAGAGACTGAATTTAACATGAGTAATAGAGTCAGGCCCCTGGATGTTAGAGAAGCATCTGCCCCCTCCCAGCTTTCTTTGCATTACTTCTCTGATTTACTATTCTTATCTATAAAGTGGAGAAACTTGTATCTATCTCATAACGTTGTTATGAAGATTATGTTTGTAAAGTACAATGCCTGCCGTGCCTGCCACGTCTGCACGTAGCATGCATAAAGCAAACAGCAGCTCTTCTCTTAATATGTGGCTGGAGATAGCCACTTAGTCTTGACATTAAGGAAACTCAGAGGAGATTATTTCTGTGTAGGACGTTAAGTCTAGTAACCTGGGTACCTTCCAGACAATAACCCTTTAAAGGTGCAAGTACTCCTTTTGGGGAGGAAATTTTTGCTCTCTCTGGATTATATCCTCCAGTGAGAAAAGGAAGTCATTTCATAAGAGTAGCCTAGGAAGCAAGTCACACCAAATGATGGAGAGGAGGAAACGCCATTTCGAGGGACATCAAGCCAGGTCAGAACTGCAAGGATGCCTGGATCTTTGTGATTCCTCAAGTAGCCTCTATTTATTTTCACATAATACAGTGAAAGTCTTAAACCAAAAATATAATTAGATAATAGCGTATCTAGTAAAGGTTAACTAATTATCTCTGAAAGTAACAGAAAAATTCATTCACTGGGAAAGTGATAATCTTCCATGGCAAAGGAGGAGAGAGAAGAATAAATAGTGGCATTTAGCAAGAAGAGAAGACTATGTAATAATAAAATTTTATTATTATTTGAATTTGCTTGCCATTTAGAAAATTCAAGCCACCAAATGACAAATAGAAGAGACACAGAAAATATGAAATTTGCTGCAAAGATTCTTCCAAGCCTTTCACACCTGGCAGTCAGTGTGGGGGGAGCTGGGCTTTGTTGTCTGTTTTTCCTCCTAAAGCAGTTTGAAACGAAATTCTTGGCTCTGATCTAGAAAATATCTGTTTCTTTCTCTACCCATCTGGAATCTGATATAAATATATCCACAGGCACACACACTTATTTCTATGTATGCGCAGCTACATGTATATCTGTAAATATGGGAAACATTATAATGGCAGCTAAGAGTCCCAGTCCGAGCACTTGCTTAGTGTATCTCTGCACTGCAGCAGATATTGACCAACGAGAAAAGGGTAGAGGAGATGCACATCACCTAGAGTCTTAAGACGGTTAAATGAGATGACCCATAAGAATTTAACAGTGCCTGGCATAAAGCGTGTTTAATGTTAAATATTACTATTATTATTATTAACAATATTTACCCCACAAAAATAACTTATCTTCGTAGAAAAACTTATTCATCGAAAAAGTACTAAGTCAAGCTGGGCATGATGAGGCACACCTGTAACCCAAGAACTCAGAAGGCTGAGGCAGGAAAATAACAGCAAGTTCAAAGCCAGCCTGGGCTACATACTGAGTTCAAGGCCAGCCTGAACTGCATAGTGAGACCCTGTCTCTTAACAGAGTACTAAATCAATACAGTATTATAGGAGAACACAGTCATAGAATTGACTGTACCCAACTTTGACACTTACTAAAAAGCTGTACTAACCAAGACAGTCCGGAAAATGGAAGTGACCATAAAGGGTCGGGTGAAAGAACAGACAAGTACATACATCGATGAGACAGAAAAGAAAGCCAGAAATAGAGCTACAAAATGTAACTAACTGGTCCTTGACCAAGAAGCAAAAGAAAGTCAATGAAAAAATGGTCTTGAAGAAACTGTACTAGAAAAGTTAGACATCAAAATGAAAAAAAAAAAAAAACACTAGACACAGGCCTTCCATCTTTGACAAAAACTAGCTCGAAATGGACCACAGACCTAACACATCATCCAAAATTATTAAACTCCTAGAAGACAACATAAGAGAAAAATCTGGGTGATTTGGAGTTTGATGATGACTTTTTTGGATGAAAAACTAAATGGATAATTCATAAAAGGAGAAATTGGTCATTTGAGCTTTATTAAGCATTAAAAACATCTCTTCAAAAGAGCAGAGTTTTTTAAAAAGTCACAGACTGGGGAAGTACTTGCAAAACTGATCTGATAAAGGAGGAATTCTTAACATTAAAAAAAAACAGGCAAAGGAGCTGAAGAGATACCTGATCTAAGATTTACAGATGGCAAACCACATAAAAAGTTGCTCAGTGTCATGCAACATTAGGGAATTCCAAATTAAACAAGAAGGAAATGGCACTACTCAGATTAGGACGGCAACCAGCCAAAACACTGATGCCACCAATCTCTGGCAAGGATGTGGCACACTAGGGACTCTCACTCTTTGCTAGTGGGAATGTTTTATGATGCGGCCACTCTGGAAGATAAGGTGTCAGTTTTTTCTGAAGCTAACCATGCTTCTTGGTGTTCATTCGCCTGATAACAAAGGCACGTCTTCACTAAAACCCATACAAACATGTTTATAGCAGCCTTATTTGTGATTGCTGAAACTTGGAAGCAACCATTGCCTCCCATGAGCTAATCATAAAGAAAACTATGGTATATCCATGTCATGGAATCACACTCAACAGCAGAAAGTAACAGCGACCAGTGACGAGATGACATACAGGCACTGTATTACTAAGCGAAAGACGCCAATCTGAACAACCTGCGTGATTCTCACTCTACAGTACTCTGGAAAACAGTTTGAAGACAGTAAAAAGATCAGTGGTTGCCAGGAGTTTGGGAGTAAGGGGGAGGAATGAATCAGTGGGACACAGGGACAAAGGCGTTTGGTGCGGTGAAATTAAGCTGTATGACACAGTCCTGGTAGTTATGCCTCACCATCCACTTGTCAAAACCTATGGGAAAGTGCAATACAAGTAGCTACCCCTAATGTAAAACAGGGCTTCCGTCTAAAATAATCATTTATCAACACTGATTGCTCAGTGGTAACAAATAGATCAGTGTCGTAAGGTGCTACGAACAGGGGAAACTGGTAGAGGGAGAATACACAGGAACTCTTTTTTTCAGCCAATTTTTCTGTAAAACTAAAGCTGCTCTAAAAGAGAAAGTTTATTAATTTTTTTAAAAAGAACATATGCTAAAAATGAAGGTAAAAAGATGATAGCGCATCCAGGGAATAGGCTAAAAGGCATGATGGGTGGAAGAAAGGCAATGACTAATAAAGCTAAGAGAGTAAGCTACCGGGTGAGACACTGGAGAACTTCATACACCACATCACAGTTTCTGGGTTTTACTGTAAGCCAAGCTTTTCTAAGTTACTTGGTGATACTTGTCTGTCAGAAAAATAATTGCTTGGAAATAAATATGGAACCAAGTGAAAAGCGTTGAAAAGAAGTAAAGAACTAAAAGCTCTTGCACTAATCCAAGTAAGAAGTTATAAGTAGAGGACTAAGGTCATCCCAAAGTTACAACCCTATTCTGATGACATGAACCAGAGAAATAAAAAAGGACCATCTCTATAATAATCAGAGGAGAAAAACACTGTCATGGAGATTTCATCTACAGGTAACTCTACAACGTCCTTTCCTTTAATAAATCACAAAAAGCATGACAGGTTCTTTTTTATGATATGGACAGTTGGGCTGGAAATCAGACAGTTGAACTACACAAATTCTTCTAGATAAAATTCTGTGTATGTGAAATTTAGGCATATCACATTTTTGCTACTGCTAGCTTGTCTCACTGTAGTATTTTGAGAAAATAATTAACCATCATTAGATATATAAATCACTTCTTCTTCTCCTCCCTGAAACAAAACACACAGAGCTGTACTTGTAAGTAACTAGTAAATTCCATATCAGTGCCACAATTAAAAGTTATCTGTCCTGGGGTGAAGATTTAGCTCAGTGGTTCTGCTCCCTTCCTTGCAAGCACAAGGACCCTAGTTCGATCCCTAGTACCAAAGAAAAGTTATCTGTTCTGATGGCCTTTTGACTGCTAACCTAGGGCTCAGTTTTGAATCTAGTTCTTGTTTGCTCTGTCCACAGTCCCTTCATGTAGAGAATAAATTTCTCTTGCCATGCAATCATAGGAGCTTTTTGCACCAAAGTTTCAAATACCCTCGAGTCTAGCTTTGAAGTCCCCTTTCCACCAGCAGATGTTCACAGTGAATTTTATGAATGCTACCTATCTTCTATTTTGATTGCCAAACTTAGTAGATTCTATTCTGCTATTATCAAGTACTACATTAAAAGATAAACAGGAAACAGATAGAAATGTAAGTCAGTAGGTATAGGTCAGCAGAGTATAGCTTATAGAATGTGTGTGGTAATGAAAAGAAAGAATAAAGATTTGCAAGCTGATTCTGTAGCAATTGGCCAAAGGACGGTATAACCGACTGAAAGAAAGAACAATTCGAGGGATGCAACAGTATCCTTTAATTGTGGACATGCTTTTGAGGGACCTGTGGAGATTTAAGGTGAAGGAGTTTAGTAAGCAGTAAGAAATGAGAGACTAGAGGATCAAAACAAAGGGAGAACTAAAAGTAAGCCGCAGGAAGGGATGCATAAGTGAAAGCCGAAGAAGTACCTCAGAGATCGGTAGTGAAGAGATGGGGAGGAGCTACGTGTGTATGAGACTGGAAAGAAGATGGGAGAAGCGGTACGAAGCTATTGCTCTGGTTAAAGCAATAAAGGATATAGAGTGCCTGGTATTACAACATGAGGGGATGAGGTAAAGCTTTTAACATAGGGAACAGATGGATGCACACACGAGAGGAGACAAAATGATTCCAACTTTTTTAAATCTTGGAAGGCTTGGAGGAAAGTAGTACTTTTCACGGAACATTACATACTTCCCCATTCTAACGTGACACACAGGGCACCTCCGTAGGCCAGTCTCTGTGACACAGGTGGAAGGCAGAAGAACGAGAACGTCCTATGGGGACAGCAATGGGTCAGGGTCTATGCATGGGGAATGTGAAGTGACCTGAACTCATCAGAGTGGAACCATCCACATACACAAAGACGGCAGAGTAAGAGGCTGTCCTAGAAAGATAAGACTTTAAGTCCCATTAAAAAAGGGGAAAAAGGGTGAAGGGAGGGCACGGACGAGGGGAAAAAATGAGAACCAAGACCTGTCATGTAAAGGTACAAGATCCCAATAATGAATGTAACTGTGCTGTATACCCTAAAATGCACCAATAAACTCAATGAGAAAAAAAAAAGACAGGAATGCTTCTATAGCTGTGTATGAACATACTGGTAATTGAATTTTTCATGGGAGGTGGAAAAGCAAACAACGAAGGAAAGGGAATGGTTGTGCAAACAAGAGATCTAAGAAAACTGTCATAGATGCCATGGACAGATTTCTCAAGAGGGGAGCTGCCTGCAGCTCAAATTCCAGACCCGTCAAAAGAAAACGAGATTAGAGGGGAGAGAAGTGAGTTTAGCCTTTTGCAGAAGAGCGAGGGCAGAAACTCAATTACAAAGGACCACAGAAAGAGCTGATGCTCAGACAAGAACTTCAAGACAGTTATTGTACGTCGTCCAAAGGGTTTTTAGAAGAGCAGCAGTGTGACTATCCATAAACCCAGGATAATCAACCAATGAGAAAGAAAATTTAAACCCTGGAGAACATGAGGAGATAACAAATAGGAAATAGCCTACAGGAAGCAAGACGATCTGGGATTATAGGAACTCGGCACCCATCCAGGCAACTGTATTTTTCCTGTGAGGTGATTCCCGTTAGTCTCACTTCTAATGATTCCGCCCAGCCAGAGTTAAGTATTCCATGTAAAAGACGAAGATGATCAGGCCTTATCTCAAATGTGGCTCATTCTTAATTACACAGCATTCCAATGGGGAGGCAGTCTCCAGATACCCAGAGAATTCTTCACCGTATCAGCTCATAGCCCACCGTGCAAAACTAAATGGGGACACCGACAACAGCTGCTGTCATGTTATGTGGGACGACTCTCTTCTCCAGCAGTGAAATAGAAACTAGTAAAAAGTCAATTTCTAAGGAACAGTGTGTACGAGAGCGGGCAGCCAGCAGGTGTATGTTGCTCTCCTTCTTTAAGGAAAACAAAAATGTCCCTGGAAATTATGGGAACAGCATGACGATCAGGAAGCCAAGTTGTCTAAGCGTCATCCTTTCGACCTCATTCTTCTGCCTGCATAGTTTCTTTCTTTTCTCAGCTCTGGCCTCAACTGCTATGCATACGCGCTTTCAATCTTCTCATGCTTGTACCTGAACCCATTTCTCTTCCCTCGGAATCTCCAGAGTGTCTAATCTCTTGTTTTCGTTTGTTGGCTCTTGTTTCTTTATCACCACGAAATACAGAAACGTGAACGCGCCTCACTGAGCCGAAAGGGACACAGGACAGCCGCACAAGTTTACAAGGACTCTTGTAAAAGTGCTTGCCCGAGTGCTCCTCTCCTCGTAGCTACCCAGAGTGCGGCGAGGCACAGTCTGGAGCGCACACCACGACCACGCCGCCAAGCCCCCGGCCCAGAGGAGCAGTGGGGGAGACTGCTGTCGCCACAGAGAACCGCGACACCGAGCGACCGCTGCCACACTGAGCGAACGCAGCGCGTACACACGTCCACACGCAAACAGCACACGCAAGAGACAGCTGGGTGTGGAGCCGGGGCGCACACCGCAAAGCGTGCACACGCGTGTGCCCGGTCGGGTCCCCCCAACCCCCTCGCGCCCCCGGGACCCCAGCTCCCCAGCCCGCGAACCTCGGCAAACTGCGGGTAACTTTCCAGGTGCGCAGCTGGTCTCCTGCGT